TAGCTTTGTGTCAGCAGTGTAAAACAGTTTTGGAGAAATAGTGGAAAAATAGTTTAATTGATTTTCTTCTTATTTTATTTAGTTGAATGTGTTATTAGTTGCACGAACGTGTTTAATTTTTTAAGCATTTGCATTTTTTTTCTTGTTAATTATTAAATTTAGAAAAGGCCAAAGTGGCATTCTCTTTGTAAAGTCATACTCTGAGGCGCAAATTACGGTTGTGGCAAGTGAACTGAAGGGGTTTGGGTTTTGTCTTTTATTTTTAAGATTTTCACCATAAGAGAAGAATTGTCGGTGTTTTTACTTTTTAAATGTGGGCAGTAATATTAATTCAAAAAAATATGAATATGGTAAAGAAATATTTTATAAAAATTCTCGTATAGTATATAACAAGGATTTACACATTGAAATGGTTTAAAGCAGATCTCTGTGTCGTACGATTTATAACAGAATTTATTTATTTTTTATAAGATGGGGCAAGATTCCAAAAATATATATTACATACATATACAGTTAGATATTTTCCTTTTATGTGAATATTTGTCTTAAATAATGTGAATATCTTCTACCAAAAGAAAAAACCGTATGAATATCTTCATTACTTGGGTGAGTTCACAACCAAGACTTCACCTCACCTCTCTCTCTATATAAAAAAAAAAACGTAAAAACAAACACCCTAGAAAAATAAACTAGATATACTAAACCGTTTCTAATAAAAAAGTGGAATCTTAATTGAAAGGAAAATATCCTAACTAAAAGAATATGTATCCCAATGGGTACAATTAAATGAAAAAGAAAAAAAATGTATAATTAGAGGAATAAAGTTAGAAAATAGACTATAAATTTTCACAAATTCTGCAAAATATGGAAAAATGATTTCACTCATTCCATTAAAAAAAAAAATTATTCTACAAATTTTTAGGCGGATGAATTGAATAATCATTCTTTTAATTCATTTCTTCTCTCTATTTTTATTATTTTATTGAGTCAACTTAGAGCTTTATTGATTAAATCGCAAGCATATATAGTTCAATATTATGTAAGGCTTTTTTTTGCAATCGAGTCAGCCTTAACATTAGTTTCTCGAGAGATGAAACGAAAGAAAATCATTAAAAACAACACTGATAATTGACGTATATATGTCATTAAAAGTTTATAGAGCTTCGTCAAGTTCATCGTCCTTGATTATCTTGATCAAAGTATGGCAATCTAATATAATGTGGAGCTTGGAGGTGTCGTGCATCGCCGCTTCAGCTACATCTCTATTTTTATCTCTAAAATAGAGAAAATTATACCGTTTTTCTATTTCTTTTCCAATGTATATCTATTTTAGAGAAATTGCTATAATATAGAGAAGAAAATAGTAATTCTTTATTTTTGCCTCCATATATAGAGGAATACTACAATTTTCTCTATTTTAGAAATAGAAATAGAGGTGGGTTGGAGTAAATTTTACTCTAAAATAGAATTTAGAGAAAAAAAATAGAAATGGGTTGGAGATGTCTTTACACGGGAGTCTACACTATTTCGTACTCGGTCTATATTTCAGTTTTAGGTTGCAGTAAAAAAAAGTTACATATCCCGTAGACCCATAGACTAATGTTTAACAGCATTTCTAAAATCAGTTTCCACCAACATAGCATTATGTCGTACTACATAAAATAGTACCAATAATATGTCAAATATGTAAATTTTGCTTTGTCTCAACCATTTTGTTACACTTTTTAGTTCTGAACAATCTTCGAACTTAATGCAACGACGAAGATATTGGATGTAGCTTTTTCTTCTTCGTGTTGGCTTCTTGCCTTCTTGCCGGTTGGTATATTTCT